TCCAGTGTGTTTTTTCAAAGATGGCACTGTGAGAATAAAGGCTCTGTGCATCCATAAGTAGTGATATAAAAGCACACAGCAGCAGCAGTGATTGTCATGTCAGACATTTGTTAGGGCACCACTTGAAAATGGATGGTTGGTTTTTTTACTCTGTCTTTATCAAGGACAAAGAACCTGATATAACACTAAGAGTTATTTAAGAACATGAAAAGGAGCCGCCTGCTGCAGTCAGCAATCCACCGGCTCAGTTTAAAATCTTCTGAAGTCAACTGAACAACTCACCTGGATCATGACAGACTCTGGATCAGGCCCTGATGATGACTAAGAAACACTCTAGAAAGCAGTGACACCTAATGGCAAACATGCCTTTGGATGATGGCATGCAAAGTTACCCCTCTTTAGCTACACAGTAAGTACACACATTACAGGGACTGAAACACTATCAGAAGTTTCATCACCTGGGAAAGCATTTTAGAAATAACGCACATGGAAACAGAGCATGTGTCACACATGCTGAGCAGTTAAGTAGAACATAGTTACTAATAGAACCCACTGGCTGCTGAGCCACAGTGCACTGTATTCCAGGTCTTCATTCATATGTGTGTTTAAAATAAGCAAGAAATCTTGGAAAATTATAGGGCAGGGAAAACTGGGATCTGAATGCTCCTCTGTGGACACTATAGGTACACAGAGATTTATTTGTTTTTAAAAAATCTGTTTTGCTTGCTTGTCATGTGCTTTACAAATATATGTGAGAGCGCAGTAACGAACAGTTAGTGACATACGCTACAAACCTTCTAATGAGGCTTTACCAACAGCACAGTAAATTAAATTCCTATTATCAATGCACAACACAATGCAAGCCAAGTTGCACTGTAGCACATCAGCTTACAAAAAGAAATGTGGACATGCATACCACCAAGCAAGGAGACTCCCTTTCCCTTATAAAAAAAATTACATTTTAAAGACACTACTAATATCAACAGAAGAAACAAGTAATAGACCCTATGTTAGAACTGCCTTGATATTATTATCTGTGGTACAGAAGAGCTTAAAGACATGAACAAAAACTCAGGACCCAGCAATGCTGGGAACTTGTCCAACACAAGGAATGCAGCAGTCCTGGCCTACAAAGTCTAAAAGCTCTGAGGAGTAAGGTAAGAACAGAACTAATTTTCCCTCTCAGGGAAAAAAAAAGTATATATAAATATATATTAAAATCAGAGGAAAAAATATATGTAGAAGCATATATAATACATATAGTCATATATATATTATATTATATATATTTCTGAACTTGCCATTGAAAATAAGAAAGCTAAGGGCAGTACACAACTGACTGCATAAAACTGAAGTTACTGATAAACAAAAAACAATTTGAAGTAATCAGGGGGCCTGAACTAGATGAATTAACCTTGAAAAATACTTAAGTGTATATTTTCAGCAAAACTTTTGTACAATACTATGTGACTGCTGCCCTAGGTGATTTTGCAGTACCTAACACACGCATCTGCATCTATGCTTCTACAGGCACAATAGGAAATCCATATGCACATGCAGACGTATTACTATGTACATGTCAAGGGAAAATACTGAGCACAAAGTACAAAATATAAAAGCATGAGACTATCAGCTGTAGAGGATACAAAGCATACGCAAATTGTGCAGTTGACAAGGAGTGCCACCTAATCCCTGCTTAATTAAAACACTGTTCTAAACTCCTGTTTAGGGAGTGAGGAGTGTGGGACGACTGATGTATGAAGAAAATATCAGGCAGCGTGGCTAATCTCAAAGACTTGGGAGCTTTCAAGCTACATAAATCAGAGCGACTTTTTGAATAGCCTCATAAAACACAGAATCATTGCCATTCCACTCACGACTTTCAGATTCTTCCTACAGCATACAGATCATTAGGAAACTTCTAAGCAATCAAGTAATGTGGGACTGATGAAATTACTCAATCAATGCACGGGCTGAGAGAAGCAGCATAATACAGAATGGCACAGTTTTGACATGGTAACCCTGCCCCTTTCTTTTTTATATAGGGGTAACGAAAATTACAGTGCAGTCGATTCATTTCAACATTTTCACAAGAGTGCTTAATGTAGTCCTTCTGAACTGCCAGTTCCTATTTACAATACCAGGGCAGCAGAAACGTACAGACTATAAGCAGCTCTACCGATGTTTAAAATATGATACAGGGAAACGCTTTTTTTTTAAATGTGCACACTTGCATACACACAGACCTCCTCTAATGATCAAAAGCAGAAGCTATAAACAGAAGACATAAATATGAAAATGCACTATCATAGATAGATACCAGTCACCATATCCCTCCCACTGCCATCACCAGGTCGTTAATGTCTACTCACTAAATTGTAATATTTTTTGGCATTGTCTAAGAGATGACTGATAACATACTTTGATATAGAAAACATCTATTTACAGGAAATACATAAAACATAGGCAAGCAAGAGTTTCTGCATTATATCAAAAAAAGTATGTGCTATTAGAAAAAGGCTATGCACAGGTAAGGTGTTATTTCTTATGACCATCTGCCCCTCCCAAACATGGGAAAATATTTTTCCACTTGAATATCTTAAAACTACAAAAGGAGAACAAGATAATACTTTTATTCTGTCTGTTGCCTAAGGCATCACTACCACCTCTGGTAGTATTTCGTTTCCCCTGAACTGAGAATTTTGGTTTTATGAGTTCTTCTGTAGGTAATTTGTTCATAGAGTACCCTGTTACTGCTTTTGTTAACTCAGTTAAATACATACATTTTATTAGTTATGTCTAAATATTTTATACATAAGTTTACTTAGTACAAGTCGAAGAAAACAGAAGGAGGTTAGAATACCAGGTCACAAAATACAGTGGTGTTACTAGGGGCCAAAATTTCATCTGTGAGTTGTACAAGTTGGAATACTTAGCTATGTACCCACTTATTGCTAAAACAGTTCTAATTTCAGGTCATCTAGTTTCAGTGTGTTCATTTTAGCAGATTTAAAGCTCTGTGTAACAATTTTATATTTTGCCATTTTCACGGCAACATAAACTAGTCAATAAAAAGAGCTAATCCCCTTGTCAACTGTACTAATTGTCTCTCAAGACAAATTAATTGTGTGAGAAGCAACTATTTCAGTTTTGATGGTTTTTTTCCTGCTTTCAATGAGGATTTACTGTGCTGATGCATCTAATCACTAACAGCATTATTAAAAAAAACGCATTAAAATGTGTTGCATTCCTCATATAAAACCAAGTAAGACAAATTTTCATTAACTCGAGGAGAGAAAAGCTATCATCTCCCTTGGCGTTAGTGCAAAGGCACACAGCTTGCCCAGCAGCGCTCCTTTAGCCAGGAGGATGGGTGACAGGGGATTGCAAAGAAACTCATCTGCTACACAGTCAAAATTTCCCCCCAAATCCTAAAATGTGATCGCTTGTTACCAGCTCTTCAGAAAGAAATCGTAAGACATAACTGTCTCCTAGTGTCGCTTTAACAGTCTACAACTGGGAAGAATTAAAAAAGTCATTCTCCCTTTAAAAGGAGGGCACAGTGCGCTGCCTCCCCGGTGCAATATTTGCCGCTCCAGTCGCACACAGCTATAAGGACTGACCCCTATAAAGTTGCGGTACCCAAGGGCAGCGGTGGCTCGTGGCCTCGGGGACAGGGAGGACTACACGAAGGGCTAGCTCATCTCTGCCCAAACATCGGTGTCCTGCAGGAAACCTCCTGACGGCCGGGCTTTCCAAACGCTCTTCCCGCTTCCCCTTTTCACAGAAACCCGCTACGGATCCCCACGACAAGCACCGGCAGACATATTTATAGAGCCAACCCCTGGGGGAGCGGCAGCTGCCCCACGGCCGGGGCCGGCAGCGCCCCGGGGACCTCCCCAAAACCCCGGCGGGACCCTGCCCCCAAATGCACCTTCCCCGGGGCAGCGCGGCGCCGGCCGCCCGCCCGCCCCCGCTCCGCCTGCGTGCGGTGCCTGCAGATGGGCGAGCGGCAGCGAGGGAAGCGCCCTCCTCTCCTCTCCCCCTGTCCCTCCCCGCACATCCCCGGCCGGCGCAGGGGGGCGACCCGCTCTCGCCAGTCGCGGGAACAAAACGCCGCTCGGCAGCGGGGCTCGGCGCTTCCCAGGGATGAGCCCGCCGAGGGAGCGCTGCCGTGCCGGAGATGGCTCAGGATAACGGGGAGCGAAGGGGGCATGGGCGCCCTGTCTCCGGCTGGGAGCGCGGGCAGCGCCGTGCTCGGGCATCCCCCGAGCTGCCCCGCCGCCTGTGCCGGCCGTCCCCCTTCCCCCGCCGGCCGAGGGGGAGGCCTCTGCCTTTCTCGCGGGTGCCGCGGCCCCGAGAGACGCTCACCGAGCCGGCGGGGTGGCGGCCCGGGAAGGGGGTGCCGGGCGGCCAGAGCCCCCCGCCCCCGCGGCCGCCCTCCCGCCCACGGCAGGGGAAGCGCTCACGTTGCCCAACCACCTGTTCCGCCGCGGGAGAGGAAGGCGGGATGGGGGGGTGTGAAGGAAGGGGAAGGGAAAAGGGGCGGCGGGGGTGGGGGTTGCGTGGCTGTCGCGGTGGTGTGGGAAATACGGGGATGCTTGGGGTCTCCCCCGGCCGAGGGCTAGCCGGGGCAGGCGGAAGGCAGGCTGGAGCTGAGGGTCTGCGGGGAGGGACCGGGGAAGTGCCTGAGCCCTGCCCCCCCCCCCCCCCCCCCCGCCCCGATCATCAGCCTCATCAAAACCTCAAGGTCTAAAGCACGCACGTACCCCGCCGACAAGAAACCTTTACACAGCGCGGTAGGGGAAAAAGAGGACGCCTGAGAACGTGGTGGAAAGCAATTATAAGAGGGGAGCAAACAATAAAAAAAGCAAGCGAGCAAGGGATAAAGGAGCGCGGGGGCTGCGGGGGGAGGGGGGAAAGCCTGCCAAGAGAGGGAAGGTTGCAAAGGAGAGCTGGAAAAGTGTCCAGCAGCACCAGCAGGCGCAGCACCCCCTTACCGATATGAATGATTGAATCTGCAATCGCCGCTTTCCAGGTTCGAGTCCAACAGACGGACACGACCAGGATGAGGGAGAAAACTTCCATCTCCTCCGGAGGTCCAGGCTTTGTAACAACAAATCTCTTCACCAAGCGGTGCCGCCGCGGAGGACAGCGCAGCGCCGAAAGCCCAAGAGTTTGAGATGCCGCCGGAGGAGCGTGTAAATCCCGGTGGTTGGCGCAGAGCCGCGGCTGGGCAGGGAGTGAGCCCGGGGCTCCGAGCGCTTCTCTCCTCGGCGAAACCCCGCGTCACTTCGGGGGGCTCCTGGGCAGCACCAGAATTGCTGGGAGCGCCGGCAGCAAATCCATCCAGCCCGGGCGCCGCCGCGGGCAGCAGACGCCTCTGCTGGTCAGACAATCCCCATCCTTCCGCCGGGTCCAGGGATCCGCTCGGTCCCGCTGCTGCACAGCAACTTCCAACCCACACCACGCACACGCTCACACACACACACACATACACACAGGCACAGACACGCAAACACGAGCAGACACGCACAAACCCCCTTGGCCAGAGAAGCCCCAGGAGCCCGCAGCAAATAGCTCGCCTTCAGCGAGGTGGGAGGAGCGGGCGACTGGGAGAGCAGGCGATCCCGCTTCCAGCAGCCAGATTCCTGCAGGAAAAGCCCCCCCGGAGGCCAAAAAACAAAGTGAACTTCAAGGTAATGCAGATAGTAATGCAGAGATTTCCCCCCACCCTTCGCTTAGAAAAATCGCTTCCCACAACTGGAGGAAAAAAAATAAATCTGCCAATGGAGCCCAGCGTGCTGTCTCTGTCGCGCAAGGTGGTGGTTGGACAGGGCAGGAGCGAGAGGAGGAGTACCCGGAGCGAGTCAGAGGAAAGCAGATGATGGTCTGCAGGTTGCTTTTGGAGCTCGCTTTGCTGGTGGGATGCAGAGAGAGCTGGCAGCTCCAGCACCAGCCAGCACGTTGCCTAGAAATGGATCACCTAGGAGAAGGAGAGAGAGCGAGAGATAAGTGCTATCAGCCAGAGAGGGAGAAACAGAGAGAGAGAGCGAGAGCGCTTCTCTCTAATAACCACCTCCTCCCCCTATCTGCAAAACAAGGGAGAAACAAAATAGAACCCTCATCTCCCTTGAAATCTTCAACTGGGACTAAGGAACAGACATAGGCAGGAGTGCATGGAGCCTAAAAATACACTGGGGGGAGGGGGGAGAGAAAAGATCTTTTTGAAGTGTTATGCTCAGCTTAAAAAAAAAAAAACCAAACCACCCCATTTATTTAACCTTGTAACTCCACTGCAGGTATCAAGTTCAAAGCTAGATGGGCACTATTGCATCTCAGTCTTTGACAAGTGAGTCAGGGACGTTACTTGAAGGGGAAAAGGAAAAAAAATCAGGGACACCTGGTCTCGAGGGGGAAATGAAGACCTAAAAATCTATTAATATTACTTTAATTATCTGTGTTCTTGATGGAATTTTCACAATTCTTTAAAGCAATGAATTGGATTTTTTTTCTTCCTCTCTCTTTAGGTAATGGAGAAATTTCTATGGGAAACATTTACAGCACACTTTTCATGCTCAGGGTTCTGTGAATTCATTAACCGATTAATCCTCAGACTTCTCGTGCTGTAGTTAAATACATTATCCCCATTACGCAGACAGAGAATTGTACAGAGAGGTTAAGTATGTTTCTATAAACCAGCCTAAATCCCCATTTTATGTCTTATTACACTTTCTTCTGACTTTGATTTTTCTAGTCACACTAGAGACAGGAAGCAGAAGTCAAAGAATTGCTCAACATAGCAGTTATATCCTAAACTCACACAAGTCCTGGTAGTCAACCAGAGGTTGACCAACCCATTTTCTTCAGAAAGAATGTCTTTAGAAGGAATTTTCTTAGTTATAGTACTTCTAAGTTCATCATATCTGACTTGCATATTTCCCCTGTTTCTCCTGACTTGCATGTGTCTTCTTTCAGCCATGGAACTAGTTAGCAAGCACAGTTGCATACCTAGAAAATTTAAGAATTTAGTTCAAGAGGGAGAAATAAGACTTTTAAGAAAGTATAAACTATGGCAAGATAATTGAATCTATTTAAAAAAAACAACTAAAACAAGTAAACAAAACTCACATTACCAACAAAAAGCACCAGCAGCGATTGCAACTTTGCTTAGGTCCACGTTGGCAGGTGAGTACTTCCCTAAAAATGGTAACACTCAAAAGGCTTCAAGCCAGACCCAAAGCACAAGGCAGGGCTCTTCTTTTCACTGGCTAGAATGGGCTCTCTCTTCTAAGAGCTGTAACAAATCACAACTAAAATTGCTTTAAAAGGCAAAAGGCAAGGTACATAAAGACAACAATAGATGATGAGCAATGTGAAGCAAAAATCTCACAAATTATATCACTCACATGCTGCATTTGTCCATATCCTCTGTGCGAGTCAGATGTTATTGATAAGAACAAACAGTAAAAAAAGATAATTTTTCCTATAAATGACAATTTATGCACAGTATCAGTGAATGTAATGGGCATTAATTTTACAAGTAATAAATTCTGATTCATCTGAAAAACTTTTGGAGCTGTTTGAGTCATTATTACTTCTTCACAAAAGAACAGAGTTCACAAGAAATGTTAATTCACTTCTTTGGGGGGCATGTCAGAGCAGTACTCTTTAATAATGTACAATGCACAGTAGGCAGAATAGGAAATGTAATGGAAACCTTTGGAAAATTGTAACTTTTTAATCCTCAGTTTAGATAATACTAAGAATTTTGACCCCTTATCTGGGAACCAGCTATCCTTACTGACTTTTTAAGGCATTCGGTACCCTGAACTGGCCACACACATGAATGGAATTTTTTCTTGTAAGTTTGTAGACACATTTAACAGAATACAAGAGACAACCAAGAGTTTGTAGCTCACAGATACCCTGTAACTAATAAAAAAAAATATTTTTGATTGGTAAAGAACACCACATGAAAATTTGAGAGGAAAAAGACTGAAGAAAATGTAAAAAGTGAATTCAAATAACACTACTTTAAATAATGAACACATTATTGACTTTATACACATCCACCACAGAGATAAAGTAATTTTCACTTCCTTGCTTCCATTCTCTTTAAATCTTATTCATTAAAAACAGAAACTGATGTCATCCATTTAGGTAGACTGAAAAAAAAAATCTTATGCTTTGTGGTTAGTTCAAGGTATCAGAGAAAAATGTTGAAAAGGGATAATATTCTTTTCTATTAAATAAATGCTAAACATTTGCTGAAAGTTTAAGCTAGGGAAAAAAAGAGAATCCTACAGATTTTAGCCATGCTTCTCTTCCTTCAATATAACCTCCCTCTCAACATGTCCTCAGTTACATCATCGCTTCAGCTACACCATTAACATCAGTGGGAGAAGTACCACCATCAACCAACCATTGTTTCTTAACAACAGGGAGTAGTTGTCTTCTTTCTAGTAGTCTAAAACGTGGTTAATGGTAGATGTACCTTATGTTTCCACTGGTCAGCTATTACAGTGTTGCACATTAATGCAACTCCTAGAGGAGCTGCAAAGAAAGGATGTTCTTGTAAAACAGATACAGTAGGGGAAAAAAAGTCCATCTAATTTTATTTCCTCATATCCACATATAACACACTGCTACCTTAACCAAGTCAGCCTGGGACCTGAGCTTCTATCTACAGAGGAGAAATAGCTAAATATGAAAGTTTCACATGCTTTTCAGTCATCTAAAGCCTTAATTTTGTCAATGCTATGACCCTTTTCCCATCCGGTTGGCCATACAAACAGATCTGACCATGCAGAGGTCAACTTTTGATTTGTTTAATTCTAAGTCCAAGGAGATCCTTCAGGTATTTGAAGAAATTAACAAAGTAATAAGACAGGCACACTGACAACCTTTAGTTTTGAGAGATAAAGAGAGCAGCTAAGCCTTACTAATACAGTCCTAAATTACATAGGAAGTATTACCATTCTCACACATGAGCATTAAACACACCTTTTGCACATTAAATTTGATATTTTATTTTCAGGTGCACTGCCTAAACTTTAAAAAATCTTTAATGAAATGAAATCAAGTTACACCCTAGGTTATTCCGGCATTCCATTTGCTCCAACACCTTTTTCATGAAGGCCTGTAAGTTATAACTTCAGAGGAAAAAAAATCCCCAACCAACCATTATGCACCCATCTGACTGTTCTGCACTGTGCATAGTGGGAAAGGAAGACAGGAGAAATTCTCTCCTGACCCTACTAAGCCATCACTTCCTGTCAATTAACATTTTTACCTTAGCTTGCATAGTTAATGAAGCTTGTTATCAGACACAGAGTTATGCTAAAAATAAATAAAACAGGAAAAAACCTAACTGAGCATTAAACTTGGTGACTTTCTGTAACAGTGAATTCCAGCCGTGCCAACTGGCTGTGAAAACTAACATTTCTTTTACTTGCTTCTAACTTATTCCACTGTCTTTCATAAGATAATTCAATATTATTGCATTAAGAGGTGGGATTAAAAAGAATTGATCATCTCTTACAGGAGAGAACCATCAATCAGAAAAACATGACAGTCATACTGAAACTGTTACTGGTGCTACCTGAATATGGGAGAAAGGCCAGGAAGGCCCACCTACCATTGCTAAGATTGGTTTCTATTTCTAGAATTTTAATACAATTTGTTGGCATTTTAACTGCATCCACTTCTTCTTAGAGTCTTTGTGGGTAATTTTCTAAGTGAATGCTCCTGATGGAAAAATGAATAGTAATTCTGCGAATCTCCACGTTTATTCAATGGCCATACAGAAGCACATGGGTTTTTGTCTCTCTTCAGATGATATTGGAAGTTCTGATTTGTCACCAAATAGTAACATTATGGACGAAACTGAGAACCCTGTAACATCCTCAATAGTACAACTCAAGAAAGAGCAAGCAGAATTGGCAACCAGATTGGTGTAGGCAGCTCCCTGTAGAGAGCCATTTCAGTGGGCACAGGATCTCCCTGTAAGGACACCATTCCCAGATCATATCCTAACTTATGTGAGTCCAAAAAAAAGTTATCATTAATATTATTTCTTGCTACTTATGTTTATTATGATGTAGGCTCTGAGAAGATCTGCCTAAATTAAAAACTTGGTGTACTCAAGGCTGGACAGATAAATATTTCATGATAGTAAGACAACCAACCATGGGCCTCCACCCCCTAGTTTATGTAGGATGACATGTTCCACTTGACAATGCTGTTTCAACTTAAATAACAGAGTTTTCCCCATTTTAAAAACACACACTGACAAATATCCCTCACCTTGCATTGCTATATTTTTTAAAAACACATGTATTCTAAAAGCACTGATAAAGAGCAACTGACTGTACTCAGTGCTGGTGAGGCCACACCTGGAGTACTGTGTCCAGTTCTGGGCCCCTCAGTTCAGGAAGGATACTGAGGTGCTGGAACAGGTCCAGAGGAGGGCAACTAGGCTGGTGAAGGGACTCAAGCACAAGTCCTATGAGGAGAGGCTGAGGGAGCTGGAGTTGTTCAGCCTGGAGGAGGCTCAGGGGAGACCTCATCACTCTCTACAACTACGTGAAAGGAGGTTGTAGCCAGGTGGGGGTTGATCTCTTTTCCCAGGCAACTATCAGCAAGACAAGAGGGCATGGTCTCAAGTTGTGCCAGGGGAGGTTTAGGTTAGATATTAGAAAGAATTTCTTCACAGAGAGTGTGGTCAGACATTGGAATGGGTTGCCCAGGGAAGTAGTGGATTCTCCGTCCCTGGAGATTTTTAAAAAGAGACTGGATGTGGCACTTAGTGCCATGGTCTAGTAACCACAGCAGTGTTGGATCAAGGGTTGGACTTGATCTCTGAGGTCCCTTCCAACCCAGCTGATTCTATGATTCCATGACTGACAGACCTACCAAGAGACCATGTGCCACAAACAAGTGTTCCTCTGCCACTGAGCTGGTATCCAGACTGTTGGGAGACGCTGCTTACTCCAAGAGGTTACTTCAGCTCAGATGTCTACTCGATCTTTTCTTTGCCTGGCATAGCTTCATACGAGAAGT